ATTCACTGATTAACTGGACATCATTAACTTCACGCAGACTCTCTCACTGGTATATTTTCATCTTTAAATCACTTCTTGGTCTGTTGCCTTCATACATCTCCTCCTACATGTCTCTGCATGAGTGCAGCTACGGAGTGCGCTCTCAGGACATTATTACCTGCAGTGTTCCCTCAATGAGGACTGAACTAGGCAAAAGGGCCTTCTCCTATTCCGCTCCTGTTTCCTGGAATATCTTACAAAAAGATTTGAAGCTCTTGACCTTGACCTCTCTAAGTGTCTTTAAGAATCTGTTGGACACCTGGCAGGGTCCAATGCTGACATGTTCCTGTTGTTAGTTTTCTACATTTGTCTTGGAATCTAGCTGTTTTTTGTTTTGTTACCTTTTCCTTTTAGCCATCCTATTTGTTAAAAAAACAAAAACAAAAAAAAAACTGTAGTATGCTTTTTTTTTATAACTGTTTATTGTTGTTGCTGTTGTCCATTGTTGTCATCTTTCTTTGTTGAAATCAGGTCTCTCTTGTAAATGAGTCCTCGAGGCTCAATGGGATTTACCTGTATAAATAAATGTTGATGATGATACTGCACACAACTATCATATACTACACAGGTTTTGTGATAGGTTATTGCGCAGATAGTGAGTGATATTCAGATTGAATTATGATGGTAAGGTAGATACATAGACACTGTATCATACATGATACAGCCTAGTATCAGTCTAGATACAGCCTAAATAGTGTAGCAGCAATAAACAATAAACACATTAGCTGTCATAAGCTAATATTAGTCATTAGTCAGGATGTGGTTATATTAAGATTAGGATTCTAGATGTTGATTACAATTCCTCTGTTTCTCTACAGTTTGTGTCTCATTAGAAAAAAGGGACTTCTGTGTGTGTGAACAGAACCAAACTTAAAGATTTGATTGCTGACTATAAATCATAAAACACATAAAGAACAGCCAAATGACACGGATCCTGCTCCATTACTGTGGTTAATTTGCGAAAATTGAAACATTTTGAACAAATCTCCCATATTTGATCACTTCAGAGTCTCTAGTCACAATAATATAAAACAAAACCAGTCAAATGCAGAACAAGCACAAAAAAATAAAAGCCTTAAACACAGAACAGATCCAGTGGTGTGTGATGCTAACCGAAGGGATTCATGTGGTCTCCAGGCATCTGTGGCGGTGTGAGGCCCTGCTGGAATGGGTCAGGGTTGTAGCTGTGGTGCTCCATGGTCACCAGCTGCTGCTGACCTGGAGGAAGAGGCCCCGAGTAGGAAGTGAGCAGACCCTCCATACAACCAGATACCACCTCTATAGGAATGAAAGGCAAAAAGTGAAAAAAAGGGGTTCACCTGTGTACTTTACAACAAAATCACCTTTTTCCTCACAGCGTTCATAAACACACATCCACAAAGTTGAGCAGAAATGTGTAACTTGGTAGCACATTACAGTCATTAACTCTTACTTTTTGTCAGACTATGTTAATTTGAATATTGCTTCATTTTATTTAAATACTTGTGCTCTTAAATTGCAAACAGTGTTGCAAAATTTGTTTCCATTAAGAGTTGTATTCTAGGTCTTATGGTGATGATGGAAGAGTCAAATCACTGCTAAAAATCTTCTTCAGCACATAGATTTAAGACCTGGTCTCTCAGGTGAGAAATGTCTCGTAATGCCTGAACCACTCTCACAATTTGAACCTGATGAAATCTGGCACTCTTATCACATGTAGTCTGACCTAAGATTATGTGTAAGGGGTGAAAAGCTGCATAAAGTATTTTCATACATTTTAGTTGATTGATTTTACAACTATAAATATGACAAACCCATAAATGAATGTATATTGTACTGAATGAAATGAAGTGGGTGATATAAATGATAAAACGGTCATCATTTTCCAGCTTATTCTATTTTGTATATTATAATGTATCTATTGGCTTCCTGGAGTTTAAATATACATGCGAATTCATAGAAAAAAACAGACATTTTGCTTTGTAACACTGAGCCCAGATAGATGTAAAGCCAGACGTCAAACCCATAATTTTTATTCAAACAGTATCTTATAGGAAACATACAATAAATATCCAAACTGAATGGCTGTCTGATCTTGAGGATCACCCTTCATCCATGTGGCTCCAGCTTGATCTAACATCAACTTCAAACAATCCCCATTTGCTGGTTTGCTCTGCTCATTTGGTTATCTTGAGCAGCTTCCGCTATAATAAACCTGCCGCAGTGCCAATATTGACACTCTGGAAGTCCCTGAGCAGATAGACGCTGCACTTGCCAAAGCAGCGACGACACTTATCTAAACTGTCTGCTCATATCCGCTGTGGAATCACAGAGGCAATAAGCCTACCAGTCACGAGAAGTGCTACAGAGTGAACCGGTGCTCCTGCTTTATAGCTGCACTGTCAGTAAAACTCATATTTACCAGCAGAGATGGGACTCGGGCTTCAGAACATGGAACTAATTTTAAAGCTGACAAAAACTGGGAGTGTTTGCTGAGTGACTGCACACTGTTTATCCTTCCCTTAATAAATGTAATATTTTAAGCTGTTTCTTCAAACAATTCATCAATTACTCAGCTCTCACTAATCACTATCAATTCAATTATAATGGACATGTTCCAGGTTCCACAAATACCTTTTTTTATTCATAAGCGCACATTAGGTACTACAGTGTAAACACATACAGTATATGTGGATGATGCATATATCTTTACCTTGGCCGAGCCTTTGGCTGTTGTGTTGCTCCTGCTGCTGCTGTCTACGAGCTAACTTCTTCATCTGAAAAAATAAATAAACAGTTGTAGCTTTATGCTTGACGCAAACACTGAAAAAACAACAACCATATATGAATAAAAGCTCTCTCTTTTCATCAAAATAAAAAAGCATTTAGTTACAGTTTAATTTTATATTTAGGATCAAAATTCTCCTCCTTGAATTGCCACCTTATCGTGGTGGAGGAGTTTGTGTGCTTGAATTATCCTAGGAGCTATGCTGTCGTGGGCAATTATAATTGCCCCTGGTAGGGTCTCCCAAGGGAGATTAGTCCTAGGTGACAGGCCAGACAAAGAGCGATTCTGAATATGTATATGGACAGGAAAAAACAAGGAGCTCAATGTCCCTTGCCCAGACGTGGGTTACCAGAACCCCACCCTGGAGCCAGGCCTGGGGTAGGGGCTTGTCAGCGAGAGCCTGGTGACCAGGTCTCTACCCATGGGGCCCAGTCAGGCTCAGCCCAAAAGAACAGCATGGGTTTGCCTTCCTGTGGATCCACCACCTGCCGGAAGAGCCATAAAAGTTGGATGTATGATGCCAAAGGCAGAGACCATGGTGCTCTGACCCTGGCTTACCAAAGCTGGCTCTTGGGACACGGAACGTGACCTCTCTGGCAGGGAAGGAGCCTGAGCTTATGCGTAAGTTTGAGAGGTACCGAATAGATATAGTTCGATGCACAGCAAGGGCTCTGGAACCGATCTTCTTGAGAGAGACTGGACATCATTCCACTCTCGAGTTGCCCATGGTGAGAGGTGTCGAGCTGGTGTTGGTCTACTTGTAGCCTCCTGACTGTGTGTTGAAGTTTTCCCGGTAGATGACTAGGTAGGTGGCTTCCCGTCATCTTCTGGTTGGGGAACGGGCTCTGATTGTTGTTTGTGCTTATGCCCCAAATGGCAGTTCAGAGTATTTGGCCTTCTTGGAGTCCTTGGCAGGGGTGCTGGAAGGTGTGCTTGCTGGGGGCTCCTTTATTTTGCTGGGGAACTTCAATGCCCATGTGAGTAATGACAGTGTGACCTGGAGGGGCGTGATTGGGAGGAACGGCCTCTCTGATCTGATCCTGAGCGGTGTTCTGTTGTTGGACTTCTGTGCTAGTCATAGTTTGTCTATCACAAACACCATGTTTGAATATAAGGGTGTCCATAAGTGCACTTGGCACCAGGATGCCCTAGGTCATAGACCAATGATTGACTTCATAGTTGTGTCATCTGAGTTGCATCCATTTGTTTTGGACACTCGGGGGAAGAGAGGAGCTGAGCTGTCAACTGATCATAACCTGGTAACGAGTTGAATCTGATGGCGGGGGAAGATGCTGGACAGACCTGGTAGACCCAAACGTGTAGTGAGGGTTTGCTGGGAATGCCTGGCAGAAGAACCTGTCGGAGAGATCTTCAACTCACACTTCCAAGAGAGCTTTAACTGCATCCCAGCTGAGGTGGGGGACATCGAGTCTGAGTGGGAAATGGGGGTGGGGGAGGGGGGGTGCTCTGTGAGTATGGGATTGAGGGCCCGTTGTTATGGGCTGTCCAGTCCTTGTACAAGCAGTGCGAGAGTTTGGTTCACGTTGCTGGTATAAAGTCGGACCACTTCAGGGTGTGAGTTGGATTCTGCCAGGGCTGCCCGTCGTCACAGATTCTGTTCATAACTTTTATGTACAGAATTTCTCAGTGCAGCCAGGGGGCAGAGGATTTCTGGTTCAGGATTCCATATCTTCTCTTTGCAGATGATGTGGTCCTAATGGTGTCATCATGTGGTGATCTTCAGCTCTCACTGAAGCGGTTAGCAGCTGGGATGAGAATAAGCACCTCCGAGCACCTCTGAGGCAATGGTGCTCAACTGGAAAAGGGTGGATTGATCTCTTCAGGCTGAGGGTGAGGTTCTGCCTTAAGTGGAGGAGTTCAAGTATCTCAGGATTTGGTTCACGAGTGAGGGAAGAATGGAGTGTGAGATTGACAGACAGATTGGTGCTGCATCTGCAGTATTGCAGACTCTGTACCAGTGAAGAGAGAGCTGAGCTGTAAGGCAAAGCTCTCTCTTTACTGGTCGGTCTACGTTCCTACCCTCACCTATGGTCACAAGCTCTGGGTAGTGACCGAAAGAATGAGATCGTGGATACAGGTGGTTGAAATGTTTCTTCCACAGGGTAGCTGGATTCTCCCTTAGAGATAGGGTGAGAAGTTCATTTATCTGAGAGAGACTCAGAGTAGAACCGCTACTTCTCCACATCGAGAGAAGCCAATTGAGGTGGTTTGGGCATCTAGTAAGGATACTCCCTGGGCGCCTCCCTAGGGAGGTGCTTTGGGCATGTCTGACTGGGAGGAGACCCTGGGGAAGACCCAGGATACACAGGAGAGACTATGTCTCTTGGTTGTCCTGGGAATGCCAGAAGATCTGGAAGAGGTGGCGGTGGAACGAGAACTATTTTCTTGTTGGATGCACTTTACTGACCTTTGCCCTCTGGTTCTGAAACCAGACCTGGACCACACGAACACTTAGCCCAGTCTCTGCAGCCAAGGTTTCTCTGACCTTCAATTAAAAAAAAGTTAAATTAGTTATTGTTTAAGTGAAAACCTGTGTGGCTTAGTGCTGAAGGAACTTTCCCAAATCTCAGGGAAGATTTTTTTTTCTGAAAGAGTCACACACAAAACACAAGACTTTATTATGTTGTATTCAAAAACCTGAACAACTAACATATATTTCTACACATTTACACTTGTTCATTTATTCCAGGATTCCAGGAGAAAGCTTTTATTTCTTGTAATTTTGATGATTATGGCTTAAAAATATATTTTTTTAAAAATTCAATGTCCCAGAAATGTAAAAAATTTAAATATTCCACAGCCACAGCCACGTTTGAAAGTGTGGGCAGGAGTCAAGTCCAGCTGGAAAACAAAATCACCATAAAGCTTGTCTGCAGAAGGAAGCACAATGTGCTCTAAAGTCTCCTGGTAGATGCTGCATTGACTGTGGACTTCAGAAAACTCAGCGGACAAACACCAGCAGAGGACATGGACCCAAATCCTCACTGACTGTAAAAATGTCACATTGGACTTCAAGCAATGTGGATTCTGGACCTCTCCACTCTTCCTCCAGACTGTGGGACCTTAATTTACAAATGACATGAAAATGTACTTTCATCCGAAAAGAGGACAATGGATCATTGAACAACAGTCCAGTTCTTTGTCTCCTCAGCCATGTAAGACACTTCTGATGTGTCTCTGATTCAGGAGTGGCTTGACAACATTGATTTTTTTATGCTGCTCCATGGTCATCATAGAGGCAGACGACTGCCATGAATGTTCTTGGTTTGGAGAATCACGAAGAACATGACGAATGATCTATACTGATATATATATATATATATATATATATATATATATATATATATATATAAAATAGAGCTATACTAATATACTGTACTAATAATCGATCATCGTCCACATGTAGTGGACTAGGCCTACGTCGAAACCCAGTCTAAGGTCAAAACTCTTGACCTTTAGAACCTTGTGGGACAGAAGCTGTCATTTCATGTATTTGAATCCATAAATACAGGTTCACCCATCCTGAGACTTTCTTTCTTGAAGATTCAAGTGAAAAGAACACTCTCTTTTATTATCATTACTATCTTACAAATGTTGATAATCAAAGTGTCTTAGTTCAAACCATTTTAGATGTTGCAGTGAACTAATCAATTTTATTAACTGAGTAATGATTTTTATTCTCATGCAAAAGTTAGAACTCATGTTAAAAGCTGTTGCAGAGTAATTATGCATTTTTCTGATTTCTGCTTTTGAATGAGCAAGTGTGTGCGTTTACAAGGTTACAGTCAAACGAAAAACAAGTTGTTATGTTAAAACTGTCATGTTTTAGAATCCTCTCAGACGTAAATAGAGATGTTTTGCACCTGTTTCTTAAACACGCCACAACAAAACCCTCTCGGTCTGTGAGAACATTTCTGAGCTGTCCCATAACAATTCTCGCTGTCTCTAACCTCTTACGTCACAAAACCCACCCCGTCTGGTCGTTTCTGACCAATGAAAAATCCCAAAAAGTGAACCGGGAAAGAGTCTTTAAAATGTCAGTACTTCCTGGTCTACACGGACTCACGGAGTTACAGACTCAGAGAGTTGGAGAGTTGTCGGAGTTCTAAGAGTTCTGAGAGCGTAGAGTTCGGTGAGAGTCTACTCAAGTTCTGCTGAGTTCTGATGGAGTGCTGTTGGAGTTCCTGACATGACAACAAAGCTCTTCCGAGTTCCATGGGATTATAACATTTTCCACTGAGGTGAATATGTGTCGAACAGAGCCTCGCCATTACTTCGGACGAGTAACAGCATCCTACTGAGACGCTGAAAGGGTGCGTTAAACGGAATCTCACCTGAGACATCTCCAGGTAAAGGAGCCGATTTCATCACCTAAGTGTACTGTAAGGAAAAGCTGAAGAAAGCCGGAGAGTGTCGATTCTGGTGAACACTTAATTTCCCTCACATACCATCTTAACTCCCTCTAAACTTCTTTCCATCTTTAAACTTTTCTATCAAGTAGAAATTCTTCCAGATATTTAGAAATGTCTGTGTAAAATGCTCACCCACATTCATGTGGGTAAAAGATCATAGTTGTACAGTTTTCATAAATGTCTTTGGTGCAGCAACGGAAAAATCATGGCCGTATGATTTTTCCTGATTGATTGCTTTGTTGTTATTTTCATAATTTGCCAAATTAATGTACATGTTTGATGTTAAATTTGATTCTGTAAATAAATGACCGCATTCATTTTGATGGGTCAAATCTAAATGACGTCTCACGTTTGCATTTCCTTAAATTCAATGCACGTTTTATTCAGTCCAGAAAAATGAGGAACCCGCGTTAAATGATGAATATATCCAGCATCTGTTCATCTACACACATTACCACATTAAGTACGCAGAACTTTGCTCACCTTCCTGCAGGGTTTTGAAGAGACCTCAAAGGAAGCCTTGAAGGCTCTCCTCTGCTGGGTGGTGAGGATGGTGCGTGGTCGTTTGGGCCGGCGGGGATCCTTGCTGTCATCGCTGCTTTTCACTGCTGAAAGTTTTTCTGATTTCACAACCAAATCCTCATCCTCACTCCTATCTGTCACAAAACACAAAAATCTGATTTAGCATTCACCCTGTAGTTTTCCTGGTAATAATTTCTTACATACATTTGTTTCCATTATATTATATTAGCTTTTAGCTACTGTTTTCCAAATTTTTGTTTTTAGTTGCATGTTTACTATTTGTAGTTTTTAGCTTTTTTTCCAATAATTTCCTGCGGGATCAATAAAGTTCTATCTTAGCTTATCTTGGCTATAACCTAACCTTTTGCTATATTATAAGAATTTAACCTAGCTAATTTTACCTTTTAGCCACCGTTTTGATCATTTTTAGCTGTTACCTATGATTTGTCTAATTTTAGCTTTTAGATGTTACTTTGAACATTTTAGCTTTTACTTACAGTAGTACATATTTTTAGTTTTTAGCCATGATTATGCAAATATAACGTAATTAAGCTTTTGTGTCCTGTTTTGCTTGACTTTTAGCAATAGTTTAGCTAATTTTAGTGTTTGGCTGCTGTTTTGATGAATTCAGCTTTTGTTCTGCTTGTTTTTAATTTTAAAGATTCAGTTCAAAATCCAACTTTCTGCAAAGTAATTCAGCGCTCAGAATTTTTGCAGAAAATATAATTTATCTTCTTAAATTATGCTGTTAGTTTGACTCTTTGGTTGAGCTGGAAGGTTTACTGAAAAAGATGCAGAAAGCAGTGTGCTCAGGTGGGCCTTTCTTGTCATACCTGAGTCTGAGTCGTCCGGGCTGACTGTGCTGAGCAGGTCTTTTTCCCTCTCGTAGTCTCTCCTGCACAGCAGCTGACCCTTCTTCAGAACAAACTCGTCTCCTTTGCACAGCTGCCGCTCACAGACGCAGCAGCAGAAGCATCTGAGGTGGTAAACACTTTCCAGAGCTCGCATCACAAACTCTGTAGGGGAAATTTTTCCCAAACATCTGCTGCACTTTGTGGAAAATAACCTGGAGTCAGACAGAAGGAAAGAAGATCAGATCATTAAAATTATCATCAAACCTCATTAATAACAAAGGTTCACTTTAAAGACCATAAGAGAGTTAGAGCTAAAACTACAGGTATTGCCTTTGAATTAAAGAATTATTATGACAGGTGTAGCCTTAGTTATGACATTTGACAATGTTTGGAATTCAGTCTTCAAGTTAACAACACAATGATTTAATTACTGTCTGCTAATCTACAGTTAGGTTGGTCATTAGACCCTAACTGCACTGAAATGCTGAGGTAACACATGCTCTCCACCACTCAGCACACCAAAACGCTAAACAAAGATCTCACAGTCTGTGCTCAGATATAAGTTGGGGATGATTTTCAGCTACTACCACACTAAACTTGAATTCTATATCTGTAAAACTGGCCAAGTTAGAATTAATTTTGTGGTTGCTAATGTAAGGGGGGTTGAATTGAGTAGCAGTGTAGCAGTGTCCATTCAATAATTACTTTCTGCAAGATTATTTAAAACCTGTCATTCGTCATCATGTTCGGGCTGCTGTTTAATATACTGTAACATTATTAGTGTTTAACATTTATCTTAGATTTTATAGCATATCATTTAACGCTTGTTTAGCGTATATCTTAGAACCTTATTTACTGTTTTTTATATACTTTATATGTTTGCTATTTTTGGGTCTAACTGGGACCTTGAACACACAATTTCGTTCCACCTCATGTACCACATGTGATGTGGATGACCATAAAGAACCTTGAACCTTGAATCTCGTTCATGAAACTACACACACACACAAACACATAACTTGCTTACATCCACATTGGGGACGCATGTTTTAACAACCCACCTTAAGGGATACGTGGTTTTGGTCCCCAATTACCAAGGTGTCCCCAAATGATTGGTGTGTATGCTGGTTCAAGTCCCCATATGGAACATAAACAAAAACACATAAACACACACACACACACACACACACAGTGAGTGAGTGATTGAGTAAGTGAGTGAGTGAGAGTTTAGATGTTTACCACAAACACTAATATTTTTATAGTCAAACAATGCGCCCAGCTTCACAACAGAGCTGTCTTTCAAAAAAAAAGAAAAAAAGAAAATCCCGCTTAATTTCCAAAAACTGATTTGAAACTAGTTTAAAGAACAAACCCAGAGAATAATCTGAGGTGTTCAGCCAGCCTAGGATCAGTGAGAAACAAGCCTGATCCATAAAAGTTGTTGACACAAGTCATGTTGTTATAGTTGATTGGTGTGTGCAGCTTTAACTTCAGCTTTTGAACAACTAAAAACAACTAAAAATAAATAAACCAGATGTTGGAGAGCAAAACGACTGAACCACTGCTTGCTTGGTATCTTTAATCCTTTCAAGCACTCAGCGTATCTTGATGTTTCTGATGTTTGATGTCCCCCCAGAAGTCTTTTCGAGGGCTCAGATGGAAAGAAAATTAACTATTTTCCAACCACGAAGCACCAAATGTGACACAAATGTGACATATTCAAGAAGGATGTGGGAACCTTTAAAGGAGGTATACATCCTGAATCCTTTTTTTCTAAATCTGTGACAAATTTAAGCTGTCGTATTCAGTGCATTTCCTGTTACTGTTTCTAATAAATGTCTTTAACTGGCTTATTCTAAATCTTTAGGAGAGTAGATCACCTTAAACAGTGATCACCAACAAAAAAAGATTTAATTGAAAACTGAAGTTAAAATTCACATTAACCTGCAAAAATGAGAAGACATTTATCTAGAGATCATCAAATTTTTCATTAAACAAAGTTTAAAAAATCTGGAAAAATAAAAAAAAATGCTAATCTATCTCTCTGTATTACCTGTAATATATCCAATAATTCTCAGTCGAGTCATCTGGACAGTTTTCTTTTTATAGAGTGGCCAAGGTGCCCCGGAGGACACCCCGCTCGGGTTTTTCTAGGGCTAATACATGCGAACGAGCACTAACCCCCCCGCGGGGATGTGTGCATTTATCAGATCCAAAACCCACGTGGGGCATCCTCCGGGGCACCCCGGCCACTCTATAAAAAAGAAACTGTCCAAATGACCCGACTGAGAATTATTGGATTTGGTACCTGGATGATTGAGCATGAACTTTGTTACCTGTAAAGTAATTTTAGGATAGAAAGATAATCACACAAAACTAGAAAAGTTAGCATTTTCTAAAAAAATAGTCTGAATGCTGAGTAGGGAAGATGGTGGCACAGTTGGTAGAGCTGTTGCCTCTCAGTGAGAAGGTTGATGGTTCAAATCCCGGCCCGGAACATTTCTGGGTGGAGTTAGAATGTTCTCTCCGTGCATGCGTGGGTTTTCTCCAGGTATTCCGGTTTCCTCCCACAGACCAAAAACATGCATGTTAGGCTGATTGGTAACTCTAAATTGTCCCTAGGTGTGAGAGAGAGAGTGAATGGTTGTTTGTCTCGTTTGTCTCTATGTGTCCCTGTGATGGACTTGTGACCCGTCCAGGGTGTACCCCGTCCCTCGCACAGTGATTGCTGGACATGGGCACCAGCGACCCCCGTGACCCAAAATGGAATAAGCGGGTAAAGATAATGGATGGATGGTTTGCTACAGATGAACATGATAAATACATTTTATTATTTTTTATATCTGATCTTTACATCACCAGCATGTTTTTTTTTTCTTCTTCAAGAACAAACTAAGCATTCAGATGTGAGAAAAGTCTTGGAATTACATTTGGATATTTGTACCAAATGTTAAGAGAAGCCGTTCACGTCACTCTTAACCACCAAACACCAACTTCAGGCACCGATTCTCCGAACCAAGGCCATGCATGTTTGATTAAGAAATCACAGACAAACAGAGTTAGAGATTAGGGGGTGATTATGGTGGAATATTTAACAACCAAAGACCAAGAATAATATCAGAGTTAGGTCTGTAAATATAAGCATTAATGCATTTACATATTTTGCTGAATCTTTCTGTTGTATCTATGATTATTTGCAGCATTTGTTTCCACTTCTGCAATATAATTCATGAGAAAATTACAAAAAGGCGTGATTGTTCACATCAGATTGCTCTAAAATACCTCATTTATTGGGGTAGATTGAAGAACCCTCCTAAACAATCACTGGCCTCACTTAAAAATGCAGAAAACATTAGAAGCAGTGAATCTGGGAGTGATGTTAGGAGAAGGACGCAGCTAAGAAGAATGGAGGCACAAAAGGGCTCGGTGTTTGGACAGCTGCACTCCTCCTGTCTAAGTGATACTAGCCTCCTTATTCGACAGCTTTTTGCCCATCTCTCACTGTCTGATCACTTGTCTGTTCAAAGCTCACAGCCACACAATGACATTAAAGACAAACCAAAAAAATCATACAGGAGACACTGGTGTAGATATCACTGATTCTTTACAATGCTACTCTGTAATTTGCTTTTTAGACAAAGAATGAGAATATTTTATGATAATCTGACGGATTATTGAATGAATGTCCTTTATTAAATTCAAATATTTACTGCTTACGGCTTAAAGGTGTAAGTTGTGCGATAATGTTTTTGCCCTTCTGCGCATTTGTCTTTTAGTAAGACGTCTAACAAAACTATCAGAAAGTAATTACTGCACGAACAATTACAAATATTTTTTCAAGTCAGCCCAATTCAAAATGGACACCACAGCTAACTGATCTTAAAAAAAACACCAAATACTATAATGGTGACTTTAATATTGAGCTAATGTTTGGTGTGGTAACAGCTGAGGCTGGTCCTCATTTATTCTGAACATTAACAACTTGCACAATAGTTTTATTCAATTTAATAAAGTAGATAATTTTGCCATTACATGATGTCTATTGGAAAAATAAATCATGACAGATATACATCTACAACTAATGAACTCAGTGTTGCACATACTGAGCTAAAATTAGATGTTGTGCTAGTTGAGAGTCATTCACAACACATTGAGTGTGACATATCACAATATTACATGAAATTGCTTTTAAAGATTTGAGCAGAATGGCTACTAGTCCATTGTTTGTCAACATCAGATGATCTTAGTTTAAACTCTGGCTTCCTTCCATAACATATAGCCCTTTAATTTATTTGGAAATTATCTGAAAATTCCCATCTTTTTTTAAAATCAAATAAACTATTCGAACATGGTTAGATTTGCCTCATAACTCGTACAATCTGATTTAACTCAGTGTAAAACCTACAGACATTTTACAAAACCTGTAGTAGATTTAGTTCATAAATCTCTTGATTGTAATATTTAAAATAAAATAAAATTTGTTTAACCAGGAAAATCCCGTTGAGATTAAAAACCTCTTTTTCAGGGGAGAACTGGCCAAGATAGGCAGTAGCAAATATAAAACATTGGTACCACATCACAGTCAAAACATTTAAAGAAACGAACAAAAGAGCAAAAGTAAAATGAACCACCTGTGAAAAAGTAAAGCTTTGGTATCATATCCTCGACTAAAACCACGCCGAGTGATCCCAAAGTTCATGCTCAATGACCCAGGTATAAAATCCAACAATGTTCAGTCAGGTCATCTGGATGGTTTCTATTTTTGCTGACATGTTTCGTTCTTCATCCAAAGGACTTCTTCAATCTGAGGAGCCACCAAACAAAACTGATTCCTACAAACAGCATACTCCATCTAGAGTGTTTCATGGTTCTAGAATTGCGCCGCTCAAGGTGGCTGCATGTTGGAGCAGCTCTGTTACTTTCATTTTGAGATTTTGCTTTTGGAAACTTTAATTCCTCTTTTCTGGATGTAAATCACATTTTTTGGATGATTGTTTCCTCTGGTATCAGATGCTGTGCAGCTGGAAGGATTTTTACTGAAACTTTTTAATTTTGGACATTTGTTATGATGCGTAACCATGGCAACAAGGCAGTTTTCTACAACCAACAGCAGCTGATTAACATCTCAAAAGCTCAAATAATATCTCAACTACAGCCCCAAATCTCAAATGAGTTGAAAGGATGTTCTGTGGACGCATTCTCATCTACCTGC